ACTGCAGAAAGGCTGAGAAACACTGAGGTAAAGATGAAATCATCTGGGCGTGTCGAGGCTGAGTGGAACCACAGCAGATTAAACTGCTTCTGAACGGGTGCTAACATTTTTACCAGACTGGTTTAAACCCTGAGCTGCTGGTTCTAAACCAGTATACCAGCAGACCAGTAACCTGCAGCAGTCTGTGATCAACCGACTGCTCTGATTGGCCATCATCAGGAGTCGGGTGACCCTCAGACCTCTGAGGTCGTGAGGCTACTATCTGATTGGCTGCCATGAACACGGAGGTCCATCATTTAAATATTAATGTCATTCCTTTCTTTGATTAATGTGTAATTTTGCATTTCTCACTCAGGAAACGGGCCGGATTGTTACGGAGCTGCTATCGGTCTTGGTTCTGACCCAGTTGCCTCTTTATTTAGCTAAACACACCTGGATCCTGACAGCTGCCCAAAGCTTGCGGCGCGTTGGCCCCGCGGCGCGTTGGCCCCGTGGCGCGTTGGCCCCGCAGCGCGTTGGCCCGCAGCCTGCGGCGCATTGACCCCCAGACTGCTAATTAAAAGCAGCTGAATCTTGGTGATTTCGGCACAGCCGAGTCAGACGGGTCTTAGTTAGCTTCTGCTAACACAGACCTACTCACTCATAGACATTAATAATAATTAAACTTAATTAATCTCCCATTGGGGGGATATTCATCTCCGCATTGAACCCATCCCCATGGGGAGCAGTGGGCTGCCATTGTGCGTAGGCGCATCATCGGACGCCGCCGGCAGCGAGGCCTGTCCCTACCCGATCGTCCCAGGACCATGATTAAATACATTAAATAATGGTACTAAAAACTACTTATTTCCATCCTTAACTCACTAAAGAATGCTAAAACACATCTTTAAAAAATGTTTTTTGACTTTTCTGAGACATTTTGCTGCTTTTTCCAGCGTCTCTTACGTCATCATGGGTCATGATCAGAGCAGTAAATCTGATTAAACCGTGTTTATCTGCATTTAGTTGTTTCTTTCTTTAGATTATGCGCTATATAGCATAATGTTAACATGAAAGGAAAACAGAAAACTATAAAAGACTAGATTTATGTTTAAATCAAAGCTGATAAAGTTAGCTCCTGGAAGTAGCGTAGCATCCCATTTCCTCTACAGATCAGGAACAGAGGATGAAACAGAAACTTAAGTTAGGTACGCCTAACGCAGAGCGCGGGTCGTTTGGCTAGCGCAGAGCCGCTGGGCGGGGCAGAGCCGCTGGGCGGGTTGTTTGGCTAACGCAGAGCCGCTGGGCGGGTCGTTTGGCTAACGCAGAGCCGCTGGGCGGGTCGTTTGGCTAACGCAGAGCCGCTGGGCGGGTCGT